ACATGTTAGAAAATGGTAAAATTATTCAGCAAAACAGGAATAAAGAACCAGGCAAGTCATACCAGGGAAATTGCGTGTGATGAGTGCCACAAGTTTGACAGCTGATTTTCCACAGGACTCAACAAGTTTTAATGCCTTTCCTTCAAAATTTCTTTCCAACTCTAATCCAACCTAAAAAGCAAGAAAGTAGGTTAAAAAGCTAACGTGGTTTGCTACGTAGAAATGGAACAAACAGAACAGGCCCTCCAACCTGTTTCTATCAAAACTCTGCAACAGTACCTCATGCATTAAGCGCACCCTTTCATCCTCCAAAGGAAGAGGCCTAGGCCATTTCAACATCTTGCGTAGTTCAGGACCTGAAACAATGCTTGAGATGACAATCATTAGCCATCGAAATCTGATTCTTTACGGCCAAGACATACCCGTAGTAGCTTACACTTAGCAACAGTTGGAAATGATGAATGGGAAAAGTGGGAATCTAAAGTGAAAGTTTACAATAAGAGCTTATCCTCCAACAACTTGAGCTAGAAAATCTTCAGAAGTGGATTCGATGATATGCCCCCAGAATGAGTATTTACAGAAAAAGGAAATCTCGAAGTATATCAATATCAGTAACAAAGAGTACAACGTACTAAAATGTGCCAAGATTTTGATTGCAGTCTATAAGTCTCACGAATAAATAATAAAATAATAAAAAAACACAGATTTTAAGAGAAGGCATTATATGGCTCGTACTGGTTTGCAACACAAATTTGAGCGAGTGCTTGACCATCTCTAACAGGTGGGAGACAGAAAGTACAGATACGGAGGTGTTTCACGTTGACCAAATAATATCGAGGAATTCATCCCAAGAGACAAGTCCTTTTAAGGAATTAGGTTACCAGTGTACTTCTGCAGGCGATCAGCATCAAATGCAGTTTTGTCATTCTGAAGAGCTTCCTTCAATCCTGATGCTAAATGCTCATAGCTCATCTCCTTGTCTACATCAAATCGCAACAAAACCCAAAAAGAAAATGTCAGCCATTAATAGGAAGAACTGAACAACCCAAGGTTGTAAAAAGATATACTGGAGTGAGATACAGAAATTTGAAAAAAAGGATAAATAACAATACAAGGTCACAATTATAGGCCTTTTGAATATTTTCTCTCATGTACCGGTTAATATCAGTTAAGGAACCAGTATTTATCTTCTCTTTACTGCAGCAACATTGTTGCTAAAGTGGAATTGATTTGAAAAGGCTTGTGGTGCAAGGGTTCCTTTTGACACCAAAGAAAAGACAAGAAAGGTGGTCTAACTAAATTAACGAGAAATGTCTTCGCACTTATAATCCAGACCTTGAATTAATAAGCTGAGCGCTTAATTTCAAGGTAATTCCACCATTTTAAAAACGGAAGTGCAATTAAAAATTAAATCCTTTTTGTACTTAGTGTTGACAAAAATGTAAGAAAGCTGAATACCAATTTAAACAGAATGAATTCCGTTAAATACAGACGAAGATACCTGGCCAGAAGCAGAAATTTAGAGCATCCAAAACAAACAAGTACTGAACAGTAAGAGGGCCATTGTCAAAATAATGAATCCCTTCAAAATCCCACTCCACTTTTGGTATCGAATCTTTTACAGCTTCCGCAACTCTCTCAATGCCTGCAAGAATATACTTACTCCCATTCATTCACACTCATTTGCACATGCAACACCATAAACACTCAAATTTCAATCATCCCATCAAAATCAAACAAGTGACAGCTATAACCAAAAACCCAAAAATGAAATATCATAAATATGCCTGAGAAGTCGACGGTGACGTGAGAGGAGTGATTGGCGACCCAAGCTGAGCTGGCCCTCACCTCGTCCATAGCAGCCTCCGTGTTCTACGCAATTCCTGGATGTCGTTGAAGATAAAACCCCTAAATGGATTACGAAGATTCTAAGGGAATGCGGACCAAGGCTTGCAGCTCTGGGTAGTTTTGGAGTTTCCCGCTTTCTGTTTGTTTCAGAGTTGTGACTCACAACTTGTGAGGCGTTAGGTCTCGGCCTCTCGGGACTCAGGCTCAGGTTGGCTTGGCTTCGCTTTTCAAAAGGTTGACTTGACTGATAAAAACGCCTGCAATTTCGGAAAAGTATTGGAATAGATTCAATTAACACGTGACGCTCAAATTTGGGAAACGAATTGGTAAATTGGTCATAGATTCAATTAACAATTTAGCACGTGACGGCCCAAAAGCTGTGGGATAACCCATTTAGGTTCTATTGGATATATTTGTAGAACCAACAGCGCTGGGCTGTTTGCCACGACAAAGCTGTGGTAAAGGTCTCTATTGGTTGGAACTTGGAAGGTCAAAGTTTCGATCGTTGCCTCCTATCATTTCATTTGTTATTAAGGTTCGCACCTTGAAATTAAATTCAAATTTAGGATCATTTATATTAGATTTAGAATAGAATCAGTCATTTTAATATATCTATTTCGTTCAATACGAGGAATGTATATCATTAATATAGTTGATGTTAGGTTCATTGATTCTTTCGAAATGGGATATAAGAAATTTTCACCAATTAAATGTATTAGTAAATTTAGTATAACTAATTAATAATTTTTATTAGTAAACATGTATAATTATTAATATAATTGATAATATCAATTATATTACATATACTAATAAACATTATATAATACATATAATTAATAATATCATTATTATAACTTTGTGACTAATTAAATTGAATATTATATATATATTTATACAATTATTATATTATAAATATATAATTATAATTATATATTATATAGAAATATTAATTATAATATATTATATAGAAATATATAATATATTATTATATGCACGTATATATTATAATTATATGCATGTATAATATACATTTATAAATAATATAAGTATATTATTATATAATATTAATAAATTTATAATATATTATATAAATATAATTATATTTAATTAAATAATAATATATATTTATATTATATATTATATATGTGTATATAATAAATATAAATATAAATTATATTTATTATTATAAATATATTATATAATTATACAAATATTATAATTAATATATATTCTATATAATTATATATTAATTTTTTTAAGGGTGGCAGGACGAACCCCGTTTTTAAACTAGAATCAAAGTTGGATTTATCCAAAATCGTCCAGGTTACTAAGGAATTGAGAAATTTCAAAGTTTTAGATATGATTCCAAAATTTCAATTCTGATAGTAGTAATCCAATCAACAATTATGGGATTTATTATAATTCTCCATTCCGAAATCCTCTTACCAAACGCCACATAATATTTGTTTTCTCCAAATTTAAACATATGTATAGTGCAACTATCTAATCCAATGATTGTGAGAACCCTCACTTAAAAATATAAGTTCTTCTAAATTACTTGCATTGCCCTAAGACTAAATAAATTGTAACATTTCCTTGTATTATATGCATTGTCTTTCTATATGAATTGTAACATCTCCTTGAATTGACATCATTTTATTTCACTATATACACTAAGACCAAATACCATTTTAATTGTGTTTGAGACCTTACGTGAAAGTTTAAGGGTGCTAATTAGATATTTGAAGCATTTGGATGGAAGAAACATTTATTTGGCAAAGTTTAATAGAAGGAATGGCTAAGATTGGGCCAAGTGTCTATATCCCAACCACTCAAACACATTGACCAAGGAAAATAGCAATTTAAATCTTTTGGCTCCATTTTTTTTCTTTACTTGGCCGACTTTCTTGAGCTCCAACGAGAGGAGAAAAATTTCATTTTTCTTGCTTAAAACTCTAACTTAGATTTTGAGGAAAACCAAGGAGAAGGAACCTTAGTTAGTTTGAGCAAACTATCTTCAAGGCTTGCTTGTGATTCATTATTGGAAATCTTGCTTTGGTGGACTTTTGGGTGGTTGAAACTTCATTTAAAAAAGGTAAATGATCCTTAAACTCTAACTTTATTGTTTAATATCAAGTGTTTAAGGTATTGATGACAAATTAGAAGTTGATTTGATGTTGTTTGTGGTTAATTCCTTGAACTAAGTAAGTGGAAGTAACGTTAGATGTATGGCATACGATGTGTTTGAATCTTTGTCTAAACTTTGTTTGCGATTTTTCTTGATGTATTAGTATGTTATGAACCCTCCTAAAGTTAGAAATAACTCTTGAAATGTTGTTTAACTTAAAAATAATGAAATGATGAAATTTGGTGGTGAATGTGAACTTGGGACTGTTCTTTTTTCCTCGCTGTTGGCCGGCCATGAATTGGAGGTTTTTTCTTAATCTTTGTTACTTATTGAACCTTAATTAAACTTAAGAAATTTGGCTAAATATTGGTTTAACCTTGTGTGTGAGTTGAGGTGAAATTGAGCAAGTAAATTGGTTGATTTGGCAAGGTAGCGGACTATTTTGTTCTTCCTCGTTGGCCGGACTGCCTTGATTCATTTTATCATTGTGTGTGTTGAATTTTAAGTTTAAATGATGCTATACAACTTTAGCTGTTGTATATTAACTTTAGGAAATTGAATTTGATGAATTTGAGCCAAAATGAATGAGGTTAGGAATGAGGAATAGGCCGATTTTATCAAAGCCTTGATCTGATCAGAACAGGAAAATCAGTCAACTTCCTCGGACTTCTGGTATTGATAGGAGAGGAACTAGAGTTTACATTTTATACCGTTGGAAAGCCCTTTGAGTCTAGTTTCCAACGTCATCAACGGTACTCGATTTTGATTTTTCTACAATGAGATATGACCATTTTTTCGAGACTGCGAGCGTGTGATTGTTACACCCGAGAAAATTTTTTGAATTTGAATAAGATTTTCCTTTTACTCAACTTTCTTGCACTTGTCACATTCATTTTCTTATGATTTTTTTCTACATTTTTTGTCTAACTTACATGGTAAATTGAGTCAATTAACGGACCACTTGGTCACTTAATAAACTTACGTTTGGGTTGAAAAATGAATCTAGAATATTAACGACTTTTACTTGTTACCTTAGGATTGGGAAACGAAAGTGAGGGTAACCACGGGACTTGACAGACAAACTCTACATTTCTTAACAGGTGAGTGTTTCACTGCATGTTACCTGTCTATGTGAGATATCTGAATATTTTGTTTGTGATTGTTTGATCTAAACATTGATTTGACAAACTCAAGGTGAGCGTGTACTCTATCACACTCGAGTTCTTTCGATTCTATTGAGACTCTGTATATTAATAATTTAAGATGTGTTTTCTCTATATTTGACTATACATCGTTTGGGTGATATCCACACTGTATTTATTTGTTTATATTACGCCTCTAATTGGGTATATGCCTATATATTTATTTGAAATTTCATTGAGTTTTAGCTCACCCCACTCCCTTTTGTTTTCCTTAATAGGTCTGTGATGGAACTGTTGTCAAGAACTTGCGTAGTCTTAAATTTTATGTTGAACTTGTATTTTGAGTTGTAATTTTTTTGTTTATAAGACTTTATCTTTGAGTTTTATAAGTTTGAATTTGTAAGTTGGGCACTTATTATGTAAATTAAGTTTAAAATTGTAAGTTTGACATTTAATTCTATATTATAAGTTTAAGAAGTTGGTGTGACGATTATATTTTCATTATGGTTTGTAACATTTACTTCGAAGATATTTAGTTAGTTTTCTTGGGTTGCTGGTTCATTAGTTGACTAAGTCCCGACGAGAGTTTGACAGGCAGTTCGCCTTGAGAGGAGGTGGGACTGTCACAATAATGATTCAGTTTCAACTGGTTCTTCCTAACCCAATTAGCTCCTCCCTTATATAGGTTAGTTTAGAGGTAGAAGTAGTGCTAAATGTCATATATATGTATATATATTTCCACACACACATTAGACTTGCATATCTTTGTATCTTTTCCATGTAGTGTAAAAATACCATTCAATTACAATATTATTATTACTATTTAAGTGTAAGTTGAGGGTTATCACTTCACTCCCTCCCTATATCACATATCTCATCCTTCATTTCCATTATATGTTAATTATTTTAAATCTAAGCTCTCCTTCTCATTTTTCTTTCTTAGTAAATAGAACATCTTCCTTCCATGGGAATTAGAACAATCCTTTCCTTTGTTTGTTTTTTTTTTGTGTTTTTTAATAAAAAGTCTCTCGTAAGGTTTGGTTTGATAGTAAGGGTTTATTTTCTCTTAGAGATTTCTAATGATATTTTTTTTTATTTTATAGAGATTTTTTAATCTCAACACCTACCACTCCCAATGCTTTGGTTCTTAATCTTTTGGAAAACTAACTTAATTATCTACCACTTTTGTGCATCACATAGTGATTCTATTCTGCAACTTTCAAAGATTAACATTTGCTCCTTGCATAGCTTTCAAAAGGTAGCATTTTAGATCAAGGTCACGCTGTCCGAGCAATTGACGTTAAAAGACAAACAGGCAATTATTATATTTGGAGAATGCAGTAACTAATTAATTGACCATATCACAATCAATTTCGTATGGATGAGTTGGCCACCACATATATTATGGTTGTGAGAGGTAAAAAATTCAAACCGTACCTCTTATCAATGTATCATTATATGTGACTTTTTTTAAATTCATCACAATATGGTGCACCCGTATGATTTTATGTAAAAAAAAAAAAGAGAAGTACCTGGATTCCTTGGTCACTTCTTGAGGTAAAAAGGTTCCGTCATCATGTCATCCAAATATGGAATCGAAGTCATTTTCCGCTTCACGGTTTTCCGGTTGGAATAGAAATTGTCACCATCAAGAATCATATCCACGTTCCAATCCCTTACAAAAGCAAAATAATGACTTAAATGAGTACTAAACACATTAAGCCGTCAACACTTTCGTTCGTTATATAGCATATTGTTTTGGTCATTATCTTTTTTGGCTAAGATATGAAATGATCCTGTGTTATTATGTTGACGTTACTATGGCTAGCATATTGTTATGCTCATTATCTTCTTTGGCTAAGATATGAAATGATCCTGTGTTATGTTGACGTTACTATAGCTCCATTTTGGGTGGTTGTATTATTAGAACAATTTTAATATAATATTTTCTGATAAATGTATTTGCAAGATTTTTTTTTTTTAAAAAAAAGTGATTGAAAAGTTCTATCACGATTTATACTATAGGGACAATATTACACTTGATGCAAAAAAAAAAAAAAAAAACTATACAACAAAAATTCCAAAGGGTTGAAATTGAATGATCGGGTACTATCATTCAAACAGCGGGTGGAAGTAGCCTCCTTAGGTGAGTTCCACCTGAGTTCGATCCTGAGCAGCAACCTAGTTGTTATCTTTTTCAGCATCGGTCGGGCCTTATCTTTTTCAGCATCGGTCGGGCCCGCTCTGCTGGAGCACTATGGGATTAGTCGGGTGTAGATCCGAATACCCACAGTGATGAAAAAAAAAAGAAGAGGGTACTATCATGAGACATGTGGGTGTCTATTGAATTGGAAAATACCCACCAAATGACAAGAAATGTGACAAATAAGAAGCAGTAAAATTTACCGGAGGGCAACAGCAAAGGCGTTGCTAATGACTACATCATTAATTAATGCGAAAAAATTGGACAAGGTCGTTAATTAGTTAATAGTAATAATAATCATTCTAGCCTTGCCCTTGCGCCTTGAAGTGAGTGATGATCCTACATGCGCAACATTGATGATGATAGCAGTAAATCTTCATAATGGGGACTCCTAACTCCTAAAGCTGCATTGCATTGATGAATTGAAGAAGAAGGTGAAAAGGGCAGTGAGGTGAGTAAGGACTAAAATGGCAACCGGGGCGGGCTCGGGTAGATGAACGTCTGCACGACGTCGTTTCCAATCAACAGCAAAGTGAAAACGGAAAGAAAAGAAGAGAAAAGAAAGTGACAAAGGAAAAGATGGGATAAGAAGGGAAAAGGAAAAAAAAAATACGAAAAGGAAAGAAAGGGTTTGTCGGAGAGGGCGGGGGGGATTCCCTATCCCTATTTCCACTTGATTGATTTGGATGCTGGTGATTGTGCTGCCGCTGCTGGGCATAAAGAAGTCTCCCCGTTAATTCTTCCGTTTGATGGCCGTAAGGCCTTGTTGCCAATTCATCGTCTCCATCGCTCGTCACCATCATCCTCATATTCAAACCGGCCCCCTTTTCTCTTCCTCTTTGATTCTCCCTACTCCAACCAAGACCTTCCCAACCGTCATCCTTCGCCGTTTATCTTCCCGGTCCCCATTCTCTCTTATTCATCAACAGCAAAAGCAGAAACCCTCGCCAACTTGTCCTCCACCTCCACCCCAATCACCGCCGCTCACACATTCTCCCAAGCTTACGCCTGCGTCTACTCGCCTCCGGCCGTCGCTATCACCATCCGAAACCATGTCGCAGAAGATCGGAAAGTCTGTCCGCCGCCCTGGCGCCGCCTCCAAGGCCCGGGTTTATACTGATATTAATGTGATCCGCCCTAAGGAGTACTGGGATTATGAGTCCCTCACTGTTCAATGGGGGTAATTGATTGTATTGAAGTGACAAATATTGCTCCATCATTTTTATGGGCAAATTGGGTGACAATTAATGAATTTCTTGGATTATTTTCGTCACGTTTTTTTATTTACCTTTTTTTGTTTTAATTGATTATGGGCTTTTTTTTGTTGGGTGATAGGGAGCAGGATGATTATGAGGTGGTAAGGAAGGTGGGGAGAGGAAAATACAGTGAGGTTTTCGAAGGAGTTCACACTACCAACAATGAGAAATGCATTATCAAAATCCTTAAGCCTGTTAAAAAGAAAAAGGTCAATTTTTTGTTCTCTTCTTTCTTTGTGAAGTATTATTTGGTGCATCTCCTGATTGCCCTCTTAACGAATTTAAGGTTCCAATCTCTTGTCTTTCTTTGAGAATTACGTCTTAAATTCCTTGTAATGCGTAAGCCTCCTGTAATTGGTTGTTTTTGGTCAGTATTTGGGCTTTTAGTCTCTCATAGTGCATGGTTAGAAAAGGTTGGGACGTCTTTGTTTAGATAAAATGAAAGGCAAACAGAAGAGAGGTGCCTGGAAGGATCCTGTGTTGTGTATGTGGATATTATTGATGGGGATAAGAAATGAAATTTGAGGTTTAAAGTAAACTATTCAAAATTTTAGTGTATTCGCATTTTCGAATGGAAACAAAGGGAAGGGAAATCCTGTTAATGGATATTTTATGAATGCCTGAAGTATCCTTGTATGTTTTCTTTTTCCTTCTTAGTCTCTATTAGTTCTGTAAAATGGAGCATAGTATGGGATTCCCCTCATTTATCTGAAAGAGGAAAAGCTGGCATAAGTAATTTGATTGCAAGCAAACTCGTGTATTGGTAGCTGAATACATGTAAAGTGATTTTGTAGTCATTCTACTATAGCATTTTAATGAATTAGAAAATTTTCTAGAAAATCATGTTCTTATTAATATTCATAGTCAAAATTGTCCTTTCTCACAATTGCCTACTTGTTAGAGGAGCACATGGAGAGAACTTTCCTCGCTCACTTACTTTGAATGCATAGATTTTGCCACTACTGGCAGCAGAGCTTCGGTTAAAATTCTTCGTCTAATGCTTTTAGCAATCTAATTTACCTCCTAGCATATCCCAAAGAAGCTCACTGAAATTTTTTACTACTAACTTGGAAATTACTATTTTTTGTTTTATCTTATAATTGTATTGAGGGTATTGTGCAGTTTCGAGGAAAACTATATTTGCTAAGGTAGTAGCATGATATATTTAGCATGGATAATCTGACTGAATTTTCCGAGTATCTGAACAAGTACTCATTTGTGTTCTTTAATTTATGTCCTTTTGTAAAACTTACTTATATGTCATGCATTGCAGATCAAGAGGGAGATTAAGATTCTGCAGAATCTTTGTGGTGGGCCAAATATTGTAAAGTTGCTTGATATTGTTAGGGATCAGCAGTCAAAGACTCCGAGTCTTATATTTGAATATGTGAACAACACAGATTTTAAAGTGCTCTATCCCACACTATCAGACTTTGATATCCGCTATTACATTTATGAACTTTTGAAGGCAAGCCTCTTGTTCTCTCTCTTTAATTAATGTAGAGGAAGACCTTTGCTTTTAGTGTCAAAAGGTTGCAAGTAAACTGCTGATTATTTTAGGTTGACTACCTTGATCATTTAATTTGTCTAGGTGGTTGTTGATTTGCATTGGGATATTGTTGAGACTTATCATAAGTGCTGCCAAGAGCTTTCCAAAACTCTACTTGTGAATTGTGATGTATGCTTGAATACTTGTTTTTGAAGATCATTGCTCCTGACATTCTTTCTTGACCTGTATCTCATAATACAATGACTGATAGGAATAGTAATGGCTGGCATGCTGATCTTTTGTCACTGCAACTGGAGTTAAAAGTAATTTTTGATCATATCTTTCTCAACAAGGGAGCCTCACTACAATAGGACATGGTGTCAGAAAATTTATGTTTCTTTGAGTGACTGACATATTTCTGAGCCAACCTGCCTTGTGGGGCACGGGCAAAGGGGGTCGGTGGAAGGTTGCTGCTGAATGCTGATTAAACTGATATCAGTAGAAAAAAAAATTGAAAGTGGTGTCTTCTAAGTAATCATGAATTGTCTT